GTTGCCGAAATTCGTTTTCGGTTTCGGTTTCGGTCGTAAAACTAGTTTCGGTCGGACACTAATGGATATTATTGTCAATCCGATTTTCTTAGGCGAATACTGACTTCAATCTCGAAATCTTCAGCAAAACCTAACGGCGCGTCTAATGTTTTCAAAGCGCCCGCGCCGGTGGAATTGTTGTAGAGTCGTTGTAAAGACCTTATTAGCTGCAAAGGGCCGTGTAGCCCTGGAAGATTTAATGCGATTTCAGCGTACCGTGTAGAATTACGTGTGGCCGATGATTTGGTAGTCAATGAGCCAATTATTTAGGTAAAACCAATATACCGGTTAGAAACAGTAGAAGATTTTGCGAATTTATCAGCAGCATTTGAATTTGTGAATACGGAATGCTATGTTATTTTCACAGAGTAGTAGATACAATGTTGATTGACATTACAAGCCAAGTACAACGTTAGCAACGAATCAATGGTCGGGGAAACAAGAAGTTGATGGATTACTAGAAAGTAAATTGATTTACGCAACGCAGTAAGACGTCTAAATCAAGACTGACACGTTTGATGATTCTATACAGTAATAATGGTTATTTTATGGAACATAAACAGTGGTTAGCTAAAACATTTCAACGCCTAGAGGTCTGGAAGTAATTGAACTGAATCGAGTTCTAAGCAATCACAATATTCACAATGCGTCTTCCAGCGGTTTTACGGTATGGGCGATAGCTAAAATTTAGAGTCATTCGAATAATAATATGAGTCCTTTGTTAACGGTATTGTAGTCAGTGCTTATACAGTCGATGGGATTTTGAATTTATCTCCCAATTGCATGACAGGTTAGTTTACATCGATGGTAGAAGTCCCTGAAGAGTCTTTCGATGTTTATAACCCTTTTAAGTTTGGGATAAAAAGGGATTAGAAGATTTGTAGTATCTTGTGGAACCTATGTTTGAAATGATAATTACACTTGTACATTACGCATCAGTGTTTTGCAACTTCCAGTTGTTTATTTTTTTGTTTGACCACAAATTATCCACGTTCACTTTGCGCTCATTAACCGGTCAAACACGCAGGTTGTGCAATGATTATCTAAATCAAATGGTCCAAGTCAAATGTCATTGCGCATAAGAATGTTTATTTCGAGCCGATCTTTGATCTCTTGTATTTTTGCCTACTGACGTTTTAATGGTCAATGGACATGATGAATCTGATGAAGACGTTTGTTAACGCATAAACATTGTAATTAATCAGGTTTGTTTGCTATATTTTTGTACTGACCTATGACATCAGAAACACGATGTTATTTAATCAGCTAAATGCCACATGAATAAACTTAGAATTTATGTCTCTGCCCGTATGGTTCGTACGTTTTTAGCATGTATAACCAAGTTTTGCAGTAAATGAGCATTCTACTTTGTGGTCATTGACATTAGCGAAGTATATTTATTGTTGTAAGTTTATTGCTAGCTAACACAGCTATTACCATAACTATGGTAAACACACCTTGTTTTATATTTCTGTTAATTGGCACCATATCCAATATTGTCAACTTTTGATCAGATTAACATGGTCTCCCTATTCTTGATAGTCTTTGAATGTCACCCACTGGCCAGTTGTCACCGAAACGTAAATAAATCACCAATTTTAGCCAATCCAATATTTGTTAGCCATAAAATGTTTGCATGTCAAAGAAACATCGTCGAACGGTAAAGATCAACGGTATCGTCAAATGTGCGTATTGATGGTGGATTCGTATTAGTGATTCAAAAGGCGTTTTAAGTTAGGCTGCCGCAACTTATTCCTAGTGTACACAAGCTGTACTAATGCCAGAGGTAATCAACTTACAATGAATCCGAATTAACACTTCTAAATGTAAAACAAAACTAAATAAATACACTCCTAAACGTTAAGAAATTGTCGAAAAACATCGTGTTTAATTAGATTTTTAAAACTCTTCGAATTATTTCCATATTTGTATAAATAGCCATTTTTATTGATCATCATCATCATAATCATAGTCAGGTAATTTAGACTCCACTACAAGATCACGACTCTAATTCAATAAAGGTTATTATTAGCATTGAGGAAATATTTAATTTTAATGTTATTGGCAACAAAAGCCTTACAGATCGTGTATTACAGATATTAATAGCTCCAGGTAATGGATGACTCATAAATCCAAAGTCCAACTTTCATCCAGATTTAACGGTCGCACTTGTGATATCCTTTCTCGGCTACTTACTGCTCGAATTCAGATCTGATTCTACCTTTTGGATGCTATTTGATTGTACGATTTATCTAGGCATTTATAGGTCAAATCAAAGAATGCATGCAAATATTTTATATACAGTAGACGAAATCTAATTAATTATACAAAAAGTTCATAAAGTGGGGGGGATCAATTAGTGTCATAGCTCACGAGTGAGTACTATCATCATCGGTTGCCCAACTAAAGATGCGTGCGCTTCATATTATTCTGTGGCGCCTGGCGCGGCAGCCAAATAAAAAACCGGACAGGCCGGACAAGACATTAATTGTATATTAAAAAGTCACACTTGGCAACCCTAGCCGCTCCCATACCTTAGGCACTGACTGAGTTATCCCCTAGACCTAACAAATGTTTTCGCGCTTGTACCAAACCTAACAACAAATCATACACCTGGATCTATGAGGAACACATACACTTCTCACGACTGTCATGAAATTCCAATAACATATTCAACGTGCAGAAAATTCCAATTCAATGCGGATACAGTGATATGTTGGGCCTTTGAATTGTTCCTATCGTAAATCATAAATATTCTATAAATATGTACGACACTGTTGTTTTAAATTCGACGTTTATGACAGCAAATAGCGCCAATAAACAACCTGCTACAAAGTAGGCTTTAAAGCTGCCAAGGGTTGCCCAATGGACTACAAAAGGTGCGTTTACATCAGGGATGTGGCTTGTCAGATTACATGTCGCTGTTAGTATATCGATAGTAATATGAAATCATCTGATTCTATCACTATTTACTCGTATACATATGGCTCTTACAATATATTATTTTGTGCGAGAACTCTTGTATAAAATTAAAAACAGATTTTATTACAAGGAAAGTGAAAGCGAGTCTATGTTTCTATTTTTAACAAGATCCGCAGGACGGGACTCCCTTGTCTCGAAAACAGTATTTTCAGAATATTTCTGCTAGACTAGAAAGAAAAAAGACATCGATAAATTGTAGAAAGAAATCTCATCAAGAGACGGTCTCTAATTTTTTTTTCTCATATCGATTTTTGCCGACAATTCGACATGGCCATCACTATTCTTCATAAGTTCGATCGAACATTTCGAAACTGGGCGAAGATCTGTGCAACACTTTGATTCTGCATTCCATGCGCACGCACCGATTTACAACCTTATCATTTCACCGCTTTGAATGGCAATGCTGTCGAACTGCGCATACAAGAAATATCTCAAATGTCAGTACACCCGGGCATTATTTATTTCTTACGGCTTATTGTNAGGTCCAATGACAGTTTAACTTTCCCCCGGGACAAACTTAACCTTCATTGGTTGGGTTTTTGTGGCGGTCAAGCTGTAGATCCTGGCTACACAGGTGTTGCAGTGGTGGGAACGAGAGGTGGGAATAGTCCCGTAACATGATTTGGTCGGACAATACCGTAAAAAGCCACACTTGCCAACCCTAGCCGCTCCCATACCTTAGGCAGTGACTAAGTTATCCCCTAGACCTAGAACAAATGTTTTCACGCTTGTACCAAACCTAACAACAAATCATACACCTGGATCTATGAGGAACACATACACTTCTCACGACTGTCATGAAATTCCAATAACATATTCAACGTGCAGAAAATTCCAATTCAATGCGGATACAGTCATATGTTGGACCTTTGAATTGTTCCTATCGTAAATCATAAATATTCCATAAATATGTACGACACTGTTGTTTTAAATTCGACGTTTATGACAGCAAATAGCGCCAATAAACAACCTGCAACAAAGTAGGCTTTAAAGCTGCCAAGAGTTGCCCAATGGACTACAAAAGGTGCGTTTAGATTAGAGATGTGGCTTGTCAGATTACATCGATGATAGTACAGGTATCGATGGTAAATAATTTTAAACCATTCGACTCTATCACTATTTACTCGTATATTGTGGCTCTCTGACAAAAAATTAAGCTTTTTCCCTGCGAGAACTATTGAAGAGCAGATCGGGAATTCGGGACTAACTACATACCTTGCCTCCGAAACCCTTATTTAAAAGAATATATCGCTCTTTGACAGCATCGATAAAATGAGTCTAGTTTCAATAAACGCACTCTCAATATCGATACCTGTCGATATAGCCCTCACTATTCTTCATAAGTTCGATCGAACATTTCGAAACTGGGCGAAGATCTGTGCAACTTCGATTCTGCATTCCATGCGCACGCACCGATTTACAACCTTATCATTTCACCGCTTTGAATGGCAATGCTGTCGAACTGCGCATACAAGAAATATCTCAAATGTCAGTACACCCGGGCATTATTTATTTCTTACGACTTATTGTTGGTTGGGGAAAAATAAGTTACTTCTGAAATGTAATTTAACATAAACTGTCAGCTATATCAACTCATTATTCAAATTTAGACCAAGTCCGTAACAAGACAAGGAATATATTGCAACAAAACACCTTGCCACCAACTGGGTTTGTCTGCCGCAGTAAATAATTAGCTCTTGTTAGAAACATCGATTGCTTTAACCTACACATACCCTTACAAGGAATGTAGATCAGCTAAATCATCAAGGCGTTCGCGTCAAAATAATTTAATGTCTTATTCCGTGAGCCAAAGCGTGGGTAGTAGACTAATTCCCCTTTTGAGTCCGTTGGCACACCCTTCGGTGTGGCAACACTGACTGCAACGTTCGTCCATACGGCCTGTCGATTAAATGCAAGAATGAACCCATTATGTGCTTATGCCTTAACGTATCTGCATAACATTTACATTGTAAACTCACCTGAAAGTGGTTTGCCGGTAACCTCATAATCGCACCGCCATTATTGTTCCTGAGAACAAAAATAAAACAATCAGAATCACATAATATACAAATGGAAACATAATTCTATCTGTACTAGAATGTACGTTAATAAAGGTTGACTATTAAAATTAAAAGAAACATGTAACGTTATGAGTAAAACGTTTTACAACAGCAATATAAATAAAATTACCTATAAATTTCATGCTTCATACGAAATACAAGAATTGTGGGAAAGATGTGGCTGAATAAATGTGCTAACTTATATGGCATTTGAAGTAAATCATACCATTTAATTCCAACGTGCATTATAAGTACTAGGCCCTTTAGTAAAGGAGCAAGTTTTTGTACTGTACCTCTAATAAATCATAAAGATTCTCGATGCAGCAATAAACGTATCCCAAGTATTGCTTTGATGCGAACTTTGGCTTCGAATGCTTTGGTTTCTCTTTGTACGTCGAAGACATATGGCTCACACTGATGCCTATACAACAGGGGGATATTGTATTTAAATCATACTTGAGGAATGTACCTATGTACTTGAACGAATTATTAGTCCAAGTCTAATTAATCATAATAGGTAGAGTCATATTTTAAAAGTAAGTCAGTTTTCATTTCACTCTCTGATACGTCTCAATCTCAATTTCAAATGTACTAAAACAGTGATTAAACTATTTCGATGTTTGTGTGAAAGTTACAAAATTACAAGCGAGTTCAGGGTAAATAATATAATACTTTGATTGCTATAATAAATGCTTCCGTCATCATAATCACAAATATCTAGATTCTAGACAATAGTATGAAAATGTACTGCATAATTTTGACAAAATAATACAACTAAGTCATGACAAAATAATTGCAAAATGGCAGTCGTATATCAAGACGAGGAACCTGGTCGTGTGTTCGTGATCACAATTACGCGGCTTACAGAACAAATACTCATATACAGACACTATAGGACAGATAGCCGTTTTATAGCACCCGTAACGACCGTTATAAGATTGCAGTGACGGTAATAGGTGCGAATACCACAATTTCCATACTATAGAAGTGATTATTCCATGTTTATTTACGTGACCCGCTTGTTCTAGATTATGGTATGTCTTATTATTAAAATGAGATATAAGTTTCAATCTCCACTCAAGAATAGATTCAAGCCTGAGATAGCTCTAGATTAATATTGAAATTCATCCAATCACTGGAGTTAGAATCGAGTTTGAGATACNATTATTTGACAGACGATTTCTACTCTCGACAAATGCATTTGAATTAGCCCACAGTTCGTTTGCATGTCACATAAATATTTCAGATTGATATCTCTTTCAGTAACTATAGGATAAGATCACAATTAATTAATATTGCTGAGTGATATTTATTTATTTATTTACAACTATTTTAGAGAAACCAAGTACAAAATGCAACTCAATGCCATAGGAATAAGACATTCTCTGCCAAATTTGAGTCAAGCAAAATGAGCTTCCAAAACTCTATGTNCCTCCACTATAGTGGAGGAGGCTCATAGTCCAGCAGTGGACTGTAAAGGGCTGTTGATGAAATTACTAAATATGCTATGTCATGCTAAGAATACCTAATTCTATGTCGGTATTGATACAAAAACCTGAGAAATTTTAAGGTTTACTACATAAATTTAGTTTGGGACAGCGATTTTCCATTTAGTGGAGAAATGCCCATGTATATCCAGGATTATCGATATCCTTACTTTACTTCGTTGGACGCAGGTCGGCCGTAGTAAGGACAATCTGTTCAGGTGGGGATTCTTGGATGCCTCAAATTTGGAGGGCAGGTGTAGTTTTGTTCCCCAGTCGACGAAGCACATGATGTCGTGCCCTGCGTGCCCAAACAACTGCACGTAGGAAGATTTAATGAAGGCTACTGACAACGCCATTCTTGTGGCGGAGTTTTGGGCCGACGCTGTGTAGGTTTGTTGTCGACATGACAAGAAGAAGATATCCTTCCTTCGTAACATAGCTCCAACCAAAGGTTCCAAAAATAGTCAAATAATATTCGACGCACAATTTTAGCTAGTACTATTTCATAATAATATAACTGTAGTTTAATAAACATGACAATCGTAAAACGTGTTAGGTACGTGATTCAAGTTCGTGCTTTTGTTATTTTAGTAAACAAATGTCTGTGTTATGAACAACACTGCAACAGACTGCATGACTCCACGTCTAGGTTTAATTCGATCCAATATTTATATAGCTTACAGCTATATTACAGCTGTTCTAATTTCGGAAAATTAACATACTTTTAGGCTGACTTGCACCACCACTTTAACCGTAACTATAAAGATAACCGATTTTTTTGTGGAGTTTGACATAATTATTTTTGACGTTTATTAAAGTTAAAGTAAGATGGTGCTACTCAGCTTTAATAATAAAATTAATACACTGAATTATGGACGTAACATACTATACTATGACACTACTCAACTCCTATACGAGTATATTCAGGATCCTGAATGAATGAAACTGATTATATCGAATCTAATCTCAAAAGTTGACATATCCTGGAAAATAGTTTATGATAACCGTAGCGAAGAAATCTATCTGCAAACTTAAGAGGTAGAAGTTACGAAAGTGAACTTAATAACTACAAGTTATATTTATTTAATCGACCATGAAAACTTAAAACAATGTATCTGACTTTTATAGCCATTTAGAAAACATTGTTTAAAATCGTGCAGCTTCAGCTAATTGATTTCCTATTATGTCTGCTTGCTATACTTTACGACTGCAACAGGAAACCATTCTTTAAACGTAACTGTATGTAACATTATTCCCGTACTCAAAGCATTATTATAATTGGTAATGTAAAATATGTAATGTTGATGTTACATAGATATTATATGTCGCCAATAGAATAGCCATAGACTTAAAATTTATGAGCGGTAAAGATTTTATGCCGTTTGTATGACTAGGCACTGCTACACTATACAAAGAAAATAGTAAATGAGATTATTGACTTTTTACTTTATCTTCTACTAGCTTTCCGCCCGCGGCTTCGCCCGCGTGGTATTTTGTCTGTCACAGAAAAACTTTATCGCGCGCGTCCCTGTTTCAAAAACCGGGATAAAAACTATCCTATGTCCTTTCCCGAGACTCAAACTATCTCTATGCCAAATTTCATCAAAATCGGTTCATTGGTTTAGGCGTGAATGTGAGAAAGACAGGCAGAGTTACTTTCGCATTTATAATATAAGTATAGGTAGTATTGAAGTATAGATACTTTAGATAAGGTAATATAGTAACAGTAACTCAATCGAATAAAGAGTAGGAGTTGTAGAACAAATTATCTGTTTTAACCTCATCATCATTTCAGCCAGAACCCGTGTACTGCTGAACATAGGCTTGCCGCTTTCCTTTCTATGATCTGAGCGCCTGCCCCAATGATTTCTAAATTGGCCAGACGAAGCGGTCTGTATCCAACGCCTACCTGCAACCTTATAAGGTTAAATTTTTTTGACCTCAACTGAATGTAATTAACACCGTAATGTTCTGGTTTCTGCCAGGTCAGACTCATCAGTCAGACAAGTAAAGCAACGCATTATGTAAAGATTATGACAAGTGTATTTATGTATGTTGGTTTGTACGTTCAAACTGCAATCAGTGATGAGTGATGACTGGTCATTTAGACTTTCAAGTTATTTCACTTGCATGTTGTTGGAAAGTGATACGTTGCTAATGGTTATGTTTCGAAGTCATACGATGATAATAGGTTTTTTGCATTGATACTGATTCATTTGAAAGAGCATAGGTCATTTGAAGAAAGAATCTCAGTAGTTAGAACATTCTACATGTTATAAAGGCGAAAGTTAGCTATTTTGATGATGACGATGAACATTTTTTCAAGAATGTCTAAAATAAGCACAATAGCGAGTAATATTACTGTCATATCATCTTTCTTGAGCATCGTATAGATTAATTGATTCTCAAAACTGTAAGAACATCGCTGGAATGCGACTAAAAAGCATCCTTCCCGTTCAATCAGTAATTATAATTGACCTAACACGATAGCTACATGAGAAAACAAAACAACAATGATATCGACCGGTGCAACTGATAATCTGTGATCGCTTCTAACAAGCAAAAACACTTACCGATGATGTATAATACACAACTGTTGAAATTCCTGCATTAATGTTCTTAGACAATAGAAAGGAAAGGTTCGAGGTCAAAAAATATGTTTTCACACACTATTGGGTTGGTGATAAGCCTTGGTCTTAGAAGGTATTTTTTATGGGATCTACAAGTAGGAAGTTTCGAAATAACTCCGTTTTCTGACTTAGACGGACATAATTAACAGGGCTTAAAATCATTTGAAAATCATCACAAAATTCTTTGATTTTAATGGGAGGATAACAAGTTGCCACTTTTGTGGTCGAGGTCAAGAAGCTGTAAAAAGTTTTCAGGCAGTATAATGGTCAGACTCAGTACCTAATTATTGCAAGCACAATGGAAGAAATTCCTACTACTGTAGGTACAGCAATATTACCCTTTTTGCATGGAAATCCGCGTATCCAGGGCATCTCATTCTCACAGAGATCCATTATCAATAGCCACTTGAACCACATAAAAACAGTTTCTATCCCTTTTATAATAGAATTAACATTCCATTGACTTCCAATCGATACTTAGCAAGGCATAATTAAAATTAGACACTATGTAATTGGATATACAACATGTTTTCCAACAAACATAAAACGGTAATACGATGTTTAATGTATTGGTCGAGTCTGTGGTCAGGTTACCTAACTGCAGAGTCGCATAATTGTACAGTCAAGTGCGAAATTATGCACATACACCTTGTTAACGTCAACTATTAGCAATAATATTGTATTATTAAGAAAAATATTAAATCAGATGACATCCATTAGCCAGGTGTATACAGAAGAGTTCATATTAGTGAGGAGACCTAGTGATTTTTGAAGAAAATCTTGTTAGTTAATTTCAGTTACAATTATGTAATTAGCAAGTCAGAGCATTTTTCTACAAACTACAACATTTC